CTATTGCAATAAAACGGCAATTTCATACTTTAACCCCTAATATTTGGAAATAAATAAAAGTCACAAGGTGCCAGGTCGGGACTGTACGCGGGGTGGCTCATAAGGTCAACGTTGTTCACCTTCAAAAATTTATTTGTATGTCTGGCCGTGTGAGAACTGGCATTATCGTGGTGCAAGATGATACGGCGTTTACGGTTGTTGTTATGGAGTTTGTCAATACCTTCCTGCAAACAAATGGTTGTGTACAGTCAAGAGCAGATCAAGCTTGACATTTTGGACTTTGGGCCGTTCTTATTGCAAGCGGCATAGACCTAACCTTTAAACCTGTAAACCTTTAAACCTGTAAACCTTTGTGTCCAGTTTTATTAAAAAAAGAAGCAATCATCCGCTTAGAGGCACTTTCACGCACTCCACTTTGGTTGGTTTCGGCTCATCTCGAAAGACCCATACACTCGATTGCTGCTTTGTTTTGGGAACGTAACTATAAATCCATGTTTCGTCACCTGTTACTATGTTCCACACCAAATTTGACGCCCCTTCGTTGAATCTGGTAACCATGGCATTGCACCAAGTGACGCGATCCGTTTTTTGAACCTCAGTCAAATTGTATGGGATCCACCGAGAGCACAGCTTTTTCACAGCCAAATGTTTGTGTAGTATTGATTGTATTTGACTCATGCTTAAGCCTAAAGATGCCCGAATCTCATGGTATGTCACATGCCTGTCTGTTTTGATCATAAGGCGCACAGCATCAATGTTTTTGTTGTTCACAGCAGTGTTAAATTCCACTTAAAGTCGTAGAAAATCATACTACGAAAATTTTCACGAGTTAAAAAAGTTAAAGTGATGTAGACAACCAATTTCTAAAATGACGCCACAATGTAAAAACAAGTGACAGTCAGATAAAACAAACTGTATTCTACAGACAAAGAGATCAATTTTCAAATGTAATTACTTTTTAAAAGTGGCCAGTTCCGGAAACCCTCAGTATGCAACGATTGCATAAAATACTGTTTTGAGTGAGTTTGATATGCTTGCGAGGAAATACTTTAGTATTTTTTTTTACTTTATTATTTAATAGTTGATGCAGTGGCCTGTCCTAAGAAGTTATGAGAAGAATTGTAAGTTGTGGATTATAATCTTCTTCTTTCAGGATGGACGTATAGTAGCGGTTTCATAAACGACACGATGATAAGCGAACACATGTTCGCGCCTGGCGATGACACCATAGTACTGATGTGCGGCCCACCGCCCATGATCAATTTCGCCTGTAATCCAGCACTTGACAAATTAGGCTTCAAGGAGAACTTGCGATTTGCTTACTAGGCGGCTTGTTATAAGTGGGAACTAATAAAAATCTACGAAAAGGTGGCAGGTACTCAATAAAGTTATGTATAAATTGGTAAATAGAGAATACTATTTTAAAAAAGGTTGATACTATATGAGTACCATAAAATTCTACTTATGCAGTTTTTTTCCAAATGACTATAGGCCCCATTATATGGCACTCTCAATAATAAAGTGACGTAATCGAAAAGTACTTTTTAGCATAGTAACAAAATAGATTAATAACAAATAACGTACGCTGCAGCAGCCATATCATATACTATTTGGTAGGTGTTTTTTAACGAAAATCGATATGACTATTCATCAAGTATATAACCAGAAAAATAGACGAAATTTCATTTAATTTGTTTGAAAACTATTCTGCCAAATGACAACTGGTGACAACTGCGCTCCGATAGGCCAGTCCGAATTCGAAATATATTTCAGAGATGGGCAAGCAAATATTATATTATCGAAATCGATAGTATATATCGACGCCTTACTTTCTCAAACACTTATAAAGAGAGATTATTCAGGTGATAGCAAGAATTTCTATTTTTTTTAAATTTCTTATCAAGGATTTTTAAGAATTTTCCCTGTTCTGTGTTTTAGATATTGACGTTGTACTATTTCTTCATTAAGCACACCAATTTTCTTTAAAGTGTCGCCGTCTTTCGCTTTTATAAATTTTTTAATTATGAATTTTAAAGATACTATCCTTTTATTATAGTAACGTACTTTCTCTTGTAGTGCTTTAATTGTCTTATTTTTATGCTTAACTTGATGTCAACTTTAAAACACGTCTGCAAAGACGTTTTTTGGTTCGAAAATGAAACTAGGAGTTTCAGGATCAGGGTAGCTTTTCGTTTAGTTGCCCTAGGTGTAGCCGGTAAAAGTTCATTTTGAGATGATGATGGTATCGGACTTGCATTTTCCGGAGCGCGTTTAGAACTTACGTTACTCTGCAGGGGAAAAGAGTCGAGTCTATAAATAATATAAGTTTAACAAAGTTAAGTTAGACGGATTACGTATATCACTTACTACTACTACAGGCATATGCAATGTAGGAATTGCATTGTCAAATAAACGGCGGCGAATGTTATTTCTATAAAAACAGTCTTCTGTGAAATGCCGAGAGCAAACGACGCTGTAATTGCTTGGAAACCAGTTTTCCCTTTTCGTGGAAGCAATCCATTTTTTCTTAAGACCTGGATCCTTAGGAAATCTTCAAAAACAATACAAAAATACCAGGTTTTTTCTGTACCCACGTATTTTAAACAAAACAATTGACAGTACACAACACTAACTGCCCATGGGTCTCCCAAAAACCCATAAACAGTCTGGACACCTTGGAGACATTTCACAATCACCACATTTGCAAGGTGAATAGGTGATCGCAGTATGTTAGTTGAGAAGACATCCATTGAAAGATATGGGGTGGTATTATACTAGGCCAACACCACACGGCCATAAGAAGTTAAATATATAAATATACTCTCAAACAAAAACTTTTTCCTGAGCAATAAAAACGAACGACAATCAGTCACATAATAGTTGTTTCTTGTGCATAATCTGACATACTTATAAAATCGATACATTATACTCATATGACTCAATACTCAATTGCGACGACGTTAGATGTAATTTTTTTACTTTACCGATTGTTTAAATAAATCATTATACAGTAATAATTATACTTGCAGATATCGATACATAATATTATTTTTTCAGTACAACACTAGCAACTAGTGCCCAGTGAATAGAATGAGATGACGTAATGGGAGTTGCATTAGGCGGAAGCAAGACGCATAAATGAATTGAAACAATTGATGGGTGTTGTCAATTGTTTCAGTGAAAATCGTCCAGTTTAACTTGAGCTATGCTATAATGGACGAAAATTGAAAAATTACTTAATTAATATTTAATTAACGATGAAATGTGATTCCGTTTGTTTTGTAATTAGATGTTTTGCTGCTTTTCCCACATCACCGAATAGAACAGCACGGCATTGTTAGAGATATTATCTTTATTACAATAAATACAGAATATTGTTTGGAATATACGGAGACGTACACACAGGTCAGTAGTTGGCCTATCTATATTTCAGTGCAAACGTGAGTTGATATTTATAAGAGCTGTATCGCTAATGTGTTACCAAACCAAGAATTATTTCGTCTCTATTCCTGGTTGTATACTCGATGGGCATATTATAATTAAACAAGGTAGTGTAACTCCATGTAAACGTAGCAGTGTTGCGTGTATGTGTGCATGCCCGCTGCACGCCGCGTTGCACAGTGCGAGTCACACGCTCCGTTCGTTATAGAAGCAGTCGCTCTGTGTTTATTTAAAATGCTGTTCTGTATAAATTTATAATTATTAGTTCTATAAATGTATCGTATTTCACCTCTATTTCATAATCATACTCTATATATGATAATATGATACATTTTTTCAAATTATGTTTTGCAGCCAACTAAAATAATATTGTACTAACACTACCTTCTTAGCAACGTGTAGACATTGACGCGCCGAACAGGCGGACGTTGCTTGTACAGTGAAGAACAAGTCAAGCTTGACGCTTAGTACTCTGGACCGTTCTTATCGTAAGCGGCATAGAGTTAGATTTAAGTCTTAAGTGTCAAGCTTGACGAGCTCTTGACCCTGTACTACTTTACTGTACTAGTTTTTTTTTTATAGTATTTTTAAATTGTATATTTTTTACATTTATTTAGTCAATTTCCCAAAAATATTTTTCGAATTACCTTTAACACTTTATTAATGTCAGTGCTAATTACTATACTTTGAAATGTAAAGAGAAGGGTGGTGGGTCAGTAGTTTATGGACCAAACGTTCATCTTTAAAGGCGCGGTTCCATGTGTCGTGACGACAGATAGTCGTGCAGTTTTAAGTGTTGTGACTTGTATATTTAAATGAAGTTGTTCACATGTAGTACACGACTCGTTTGTCGTTTACGACTTTTTTGACGTTACTACGACAGACTGTCGTGACAACGAGAGCAGCTAGAACGACAGTCGTCCGATGATAAATAAAACATCACGATAAAAATGCAACGACAGATCAAACGATTCTGTCGTGCAAACGACAAGGCTGCTGCCGTGAACCGATAAATTATCGTGAAGATCTTGTGAGAACAGCTACTCAAGACAGTCGTTTAACGACAGGCAGATAGTCGTGATATTCCCATATCCATATACAGACTAGACGCGACAGTCGTCCAACGATAAATAAAACGTTATGACATAATGGGAACGCGCCCTTACATGTCGTCTGCACCTGTAATTAGATTTGGTCCTGGGGGCTTAAAAGGGCCACATATGATTTAATTGACCATTATTTTCAAACAAAATAAAAAACGCAATTTATCTATTTTACGGCGTTCTATAGATGTCTCCTTAGAACACTGTCAAATAGATGAATTGCGTTGTTTCGTTTGAAAATTCATAATATGAATTATCAATTCAATCATATTATGTTTCTGCCAATGCGGCCTTTTTAGGCCCCCTGTACATGTTGCATAATCTAAACAAAAAACAAATTTTCCTATACACTGAAACACGACTATTAATGTCAGAAGTCATGACTAACGTCACTATTTCTAGATCTAAAAGTACCTTGTCGGCTACGCGGTTATAGCTTTGTTATTGCTACTGTTTTTGTATTTAATAAAACATATGTTTTACTAGTTTGTAAGAATGGTCTGTTATAATTAGTTAGTTGTCTAGAAAATAAAATATTTTAATACAATTACTTATTTATTTTCGTACCAATATTACTTTTGTTGCAATAATTAGTTTAATGTCTTTTTATTCATTTTTATCAGCTAAGGCAAGTCACCGGAGAAGAAGTGGAAAATAACTTTTGCTAGATCAAATGTTTTAGGTAATTTCTATTAAATAACGGCCTTATGAAAAATATACGATTTTTCTGAAGAATGTGCCAATTTGTTACACGGTAGGATGTACGTTACCCGATCATATAGTATAATCCCGAAAACAGGCAAAAAATGTAAAACGAATTCTTTAAGAATACATATCTCATTTTGCACATAATTGTGATAGTGCAGTTTAAAGTGTCGTGGTTTGTATATTCAAATGTAGTTGTTCACACATACACGATTAACCGTCTTTCACGACTTTTTGATGTTACGACGACAGACTGTCGTGAGAATGGGAAGAGCTAGAACTACAGTCGTCAGACGAAAAATAAAACGTCACCATAAAAATGTGACGACAGATCATCGTAGCTTCAAACGATTATGTCGTGTAAACGACAAAGCAGCTGCCACGAACCGATAAATTGTCGTCACGATCTAGTGGAAACAGCTAGACACGACAGTTCATTCAACGATAAAATAAACGCCCACGACACAGTTACGACAGATAGTCGTTATATGGGAAATGGCTAGACGCGACAGTCTTCCAACGATAAATAAACGTTACGACATAATGAGAACGCGCCCTACTAAAGGCTTCCTCAGGTATTAATTTTTCGTTATGTGTACTGGCGTTGGTCATGAAGGTCTGTGCTGAGTAGAGTCTTAGCTTCTTTCTAAGGAAGAGCTTACTCCGCTGGTTTAGGATGAGATGGAGGAGGCTCAAGACAAAATGGGCACGATGCGTTGCATGGTTCTTGCGTGTAAATGTGTGATGGTAGATTGAAAGCAATGGATTCATCTTATTCACAGACTTAGTCAGTGATGTTGGCAAAGAAGATGAGATATATTGACTGATATTGCTTTATGTGACTGGTGTATAAGGGAAAGTGGAGGGGCGCTGGGTTTGACATTGGCCCATTAACACAACGGTGCAAATAGTATACTTTGTAGCTATTAGACGACATCGTACGACAGGCAGGGGATGCTGTAGTTCTATTGTTATGCCCAACACTACAGGGTGCATTAGGGCGTTAACCACCGCCACCCCGGCGTCGCCTTCTACGAACAGGATCGGCTTTCTCTCGTTCACGCTCGGCATTCTCTTTTTGAACCATAACGGCCTCGCAAAAAGAGACCACCGCTTTCCCATTTTCTTCTCCCTCAAGCAAAGATGTTTCTACCGCTGCTGGCAGGGAGAGGTCTTGGCCAATTACGCCAGAGAGGATTCTCCTCACATCCTCCCATTTTGGGCACTTTTCAAGTATG